AAAGTAATTAAAGAAATTATACCTAAATACAAGATTTTTTTTATATATACTGTTTATTTGTTTATTAATACAATATATAAATATTTTTTTACCCTCAGGTGATTTAATGATTTTATTGATGTATTTCATTTAAGAAATTGAGTATCCTTAAATACAACAGGTTTTATTTTGTTTATATATACTGTCTTCAATACAATATATAAACATCCTATGTACCCTCCAGGTGATTTAATTATTTTATTAATGTATCTTATTTAATTTTTTATAGATCATAAGAAAACAAATATGAACTCCAGAACGAGAATGGTAGAGAAACTCATCATGTTGTTGATGGTAAGTTATATCTTCAAGGTCGACCTTTAACAACCGTTGTGGTTATAGTAGATAGTGCTAAGAGAAACTATGGAAAACATTTGGTAAAGAAAGAAAAAAAAGTAAAAAAAAAAAAAGAAAAGAAAAGAAAAAAAAGGTAAAGTAAAAACGTAAAAACAACAACAAAGCACAAAAGTAAAAAAAAGTAAAAGAAAGTAAAGAAGTAAAAAAAAAAAAAAATAATAATAATAATAAAAATAGAAAGAAAAAAAAACTATGAAGGGAAGACAACAAGAAAATGCTATTATGCCAATTCATGTCTTTCCCTCTCCCTCCCTCCCTCCATCTACGTAGCCCATTACTCACCCACAATAAATCTCAGTATTTCGATCATTTCTCTAGGTCGTTGGAGGAACCTGGGCTCACGGACGCCTGATGGAACCTCCCTCACGGGCTTCGGCGTGGAGACTGGGCTTCGAAACCCCGATCGACTACAACGACAACGAGGGATTCTGCGGCGGGTTCAGCGTGAGTTACGTTTTGCGTTCGTTTCCCCTCCACATTAACGGAGCTAAGTGTGATTTTGTAAAGTTCGTGTTCGTATCCCTTTCCTATAACGGAGCTGTGTAATTTTGTAAAATTTGCGTTCGTATCCCATCCACATTAACGGAGCTAAGTGTGATTTTGTAAAATTTGCGTTCGTATCCCCTCCTATAACGGTGATAAGATAATTTGTAGAATTTGTGTTCGTCTTAACGGAGCTAATTTTGTAAAAAAAAAAAATGTGTTAGTATCCCTCCTCTTAACGGAGCTGTCTAATTTTGTAAAATTTGTGTTTGTATCCCTTTCCTATAACGGTGAAAAGGGAATTTGTAAAATTTGCTTTCGTATCCCTTTCCCTTTTAACGGAGCTATGTGTAATTTTGTAAAGTTTGCGTTCGTATCCAATCCCATTAACGGAGCTGTCTAATTTTGTAAAGTGTATTTTTTTTAAAATTCGTGTTCGTATTATAAGGAAATTTGTAAAAGTTGCTTTCATATCCCTTTCCCTTTTAACGGAGCTAAAGGAATTTATAAAAATTGCGTCCGTATCCCCTCTCAGGAATTTTATTTTGTTTTAGAGCAAAATTTGTAAATATCACCATTCTTTATGAAGATATTGTGGTATTAGCTTGTATAAGTAATTCAGATGTTATATTTTAGTCACAAATGCCCTTATATTGAGTTAAAACAAAAATACTAATCTAGCATATAGCACAAATCTTGCCAAATATTAAGTTTTCTATGTCACACAAGTCCAAACTGCAAAAAAAAAGAGATATGAATGGGAAAAAAAGCATAAAATCACGTCGAAATTAACCCACACTTTTCCACCAGCACCAATATTACGTGAACGACGGAAAATGCGGTATTTGTGGCGACGCTTGGGAACTCTCGCCTCGCCCTCACGAAGTTGGAGGAAAATACGCCACCGGGACCATCGTCAGGCAGTACCAGGAGGGGGAGGTCATCGAGGTCACGGCTGACATCACCAGCAACCATCGCGGGCACTTCGAGGTCAGGATTTGCCCCACGCCTGACCCCGAGGCCACGCAGAACTGTCTTGACCTGTGAGTATTTTGAGGGTCAGTTTTTTGTCAGTTGTAGGAGGTTTGTTGGATATATTACGTGTGTTAGTATTTTTTTTCTGATTAGGTTGTAGAAAGTGCGATATTCTCTCTTGTATGTACGGTTTTTTTATTGTTGTTCTTTTTCATGGACTTTCTCTCTCCTTTCTTTCCCTTCTCCTCTCCCTTCTCTCCTTTCTCCCTCCCCCTCTCCTTCTCTCCCCCGTCCCTCCCTCCTCCCCCCCCCTCTCTCACAATACTAAAAAAAAAACAATCAATTCTCAGGCACCAGCTGGAACTCGCCGACGGCTCTGGCTTCAAGTTCAACATCTCAACCGACGTAGGACTTCACACCATGCACGTCAAGCTACCGACTGGCCTCACTTGCGCGCACTGTGTCCTGCAGGTCTGTGGGTTTCCCGTTTTCTTTGTTTCAGTTCCGGTTACATGCTCGTTTTCTTTTCCGCAACATCTCGAGTGAGTCCGTTTTCTATGCGCTGATGCCTTCGTGTAGATAAATTTCTATCCTTGATATCTTTTTCGTAATAATTTTTCCAACTGTATTACGTTCTTGCAACTCTCTGCTCTCTTCTTCTCTCTCTCTCCTTTCTTCTTCTCTCCCTTCTATTTATTATTTTTTTATTATTTTTATTACATTATTCGCTTACATTTCTTGCAATCATTTTCATCCTCAACATTTTCTATCCCCATTCTTTTACATTATTCCCAATACAAAAAAAACATTAAATCTAGCGATATTTCTCTCCATTAGCCATATTTCCATATTCTTCCCATTACAAAAAAACATTAAAATAAACCATTAATCGTGACAGTGGCGTTACGTGACGGGAAACAACTGGGGTTTCTGCGACGACGGGACCGGCATGCTCGGGTGTGGACCGCAGGAGGAATTCCGCGCATGCGCAGACGTCGCTGTTTCTTCGGCGAGCGCGAGGTAAGGTCGATTTAAGAAATTGCAATAAAAATCAGTTATTTGGTTGACTAATAGAGGTTAATTGGATGATAGAAAAAGGTAATAGAATGGCTTAAAATCTTTAATATCACTTTCGGTCTTAACGGAAGTATAAATAACGTAAATCCTATCTATTAATCTTGATATAATCTCATTCCCTCTACTTTAAAACGACCCATTGCTTTTATAAACTACTACCTCATCTCATCATGTTCAAATATAGACGCTCTTAATTCTTTTCCCTTTTTCCACTCAAATCCACTTTTCCCTGGCACTCAAATCCACTTTTCCCTGGCACTCAAATCCACTTTTCCCTGGCACTCAAAACCCTGGCACTCAAAACTTTTCCTGGCACTCATCTCCCACAGGACGAGCAGGTCATCCTTCAGAGGATCTCGTCCCACGCCTTCCGAGGACCTGGCACTCGAGCGGAGGATCCACCCCAAATTCCGGCTGCTTCCAGGAGGTTCGAGTGCCAGCGGAATCGAGTGCCACGGCGTCGGGGAGTGGGAGGGCGTGCCTGGGGTGGCGGTGTGGTGTGCCAAGAACTGCCTTGGCACGGATTACTGCCCCCCTGCCCAGTGCCGGTGTCAGTGATGCCCCGGAAATGAGATTTTTTTTGGATAATTCCTATTCGCGTATTTGGGTTTTGTGTGTGGTAAGGAAATCCACACGTTATCTCGTCTATGTGTGTATGTGCACATTAATGCTCTCTGTCTGTCTGTCTGTCTGTCTCTCTCTCTCTCTCTCTCTCTCTCTCTCTCTCTCTCTCTCTCTCTCTCTGTCTCTTTCTCTCTTAAACCACACCACATTCTCTCTATGAACACCTTTCAACAATAGTAAAGATCAGTTCTTAACACTTCCTTCTCATTTATTTTCTAAGATTCACTGATTTTGTAAAATATTTATATATTTATTTAGATTTTAGAGATTTTTTCCCGATGAAACAATTTATCTTTTTACCATTTTTTTACTAATTCTTTGTCTATATTTATCTACCTCTTTTGTAAGATTAAACATAATCTTAAGGATTGTATTTGTATGTACTTATGAATAAGTTTTTTTGAAAGAATAAATACCTTAGGAAAATGAATGTTTCTATTTCTTTTTCTTTTACAAAAAACAGGAACTAAAACGTGACACTTTACGATAATGTAATAAAAAAAAAGTTAACAACATCTAAAAGTTCAATAAATTAATGAATAAATGCGTAAATAAATAACTAAAGCAAAAGATATACAGAAAGAAATTCAAGAAAAATGGCAAATTACAGCAACAAATAATACTCCAATAATAATTAGCAAATTTTTGTTTATTCTTTTTCAACATCATCACCAATTTTTGTTTATTCTTTTTTGTTATAATTATCACCAATCGTTTTATTCATTTGCCTTATATGAAAATATTGATGCTCTAATGTATACCTGAATTAAAGGAACTCTTTAAAATTCAAAATTATCGAGAAGTTCCAACGCAAAACCATATTTTTTCATGGAATATCCGTTATCATGTTCAATATTTGAAGTCAAGAGGGGCGTGATACCTCCCCCCCCCTCCCTCAAAAATTCAAATTTTGGCGGAAAAAAAAACTACATAAGCCTACTAAAACTAAAATTTGGCGAGAAAAATTGAGGAAACTAAACTATAAAAAAAAATACATAAACTACTAAAACTAAAATTTGTCGGGAAACGGCTACAAACTAATTTGGCGGGAAAAAATACATAAACCTACCTAATACTAAAATCTGGAAGGGGAAAAAACTACATAAATCTACCTAAAAATAAATATAAGTTGAGGGTATGAAAACTCGTTTTATCATATTTGATTATTTGTAGTCTATGTAAAATAAATGTACAACACATTGTAATAAAATCAATGGACATAATACCATACATGGGCTGGGAAGATATATAATTATTTTTCCATCACATCATTATGGATTGGGGGAAAAATATCTTTTCCATCACATCATTAATCTAAAATATTCAAATAGACAATTCATTCATTAATACCAATATATCTGCAGATCAACTTAACTCTCCTAGAAACATGTGGTTTATAAACTCTCAGACTGAACACCTTCTCTCTTCTTTCATGGAACACAAGAATATTTTCTGTTAGACGTGATTAATTCCTTATAGTGTGTCGTAGTCCAATCAGCTACTAACTTATCCATGCCTTTATTATCTTAATTTTTAAAATGATTATAAATAGCTCTCTCCCGAAAAAAATGCGTTTAGTTTTCATTTAAAAATGTTGTTGAGACATTTCATTATCATTAAAAATTACTAGGATTTATATGTAACCATGTACGATAGGATTATACATGTAAAAAAATAAATCAATTAAAAACTATACAAATAAAAACAAACAAACATGTCCTAAACGAAAATAAATAGAAGAAAAAGCTAAAAAACTATACAAAAAAACAGAATCTATCTCCCATGGACTTTATACACATGCTCCTGCAGGCCCGTCCTCTGCTGGAACCTCACGTGGCAGCACTCGCAGAAATAGAGCTTGTCCAAAAACAAAACAAAAAAAAGCTAAAAAACTATACAAAAAAACAAAAAAAAAAAACAGAATCTATCTCCATGGACTTTATACACATGCTCCTGCAGACCCGTCCTCTACTGGAACCTCACGTGGCAGCACTCGCAGAAATAGAGCTTGTCCAAAAACAAAAAAAAAGCTAAAAAACTATAACAAATAAAAACAAACAAACATGTCCTAAAAAAATAAATAGAAAAAAGCTAAAAAAAACTATAAACAACAACAAAAACAACAGAATCTATCTCCCATGGACTTTATACACATGCTCCTGCAGACCCGTCCTCTGCTGGAACCTCACGTGGCAGCACTCGCAGAAATAGAGCTTGTCCAAAAACAAAAACAAAACAAAAAAAGCTAAAAAATTATACAAAAAAACAACAGAATCTATCTCCCATGGACTTTATACACATGCTCCTGCAGGCCCGTCCTCTGCTGGAACCTCACGTGGCAGCACTCGCAGAAATAGAGCTTGTCCAAAAACAAAAAAAAAAAAAAAAAAAAAAAAAACTAAAAAAACTATACAAAAAAAAAAAAAACAACAGAATCTATCTCCCATGGACTTTATACACATGCTCCTGCAGGCCCGTCCTCTGCTGGAACCTCACGTGGCAGCACTCGCAGAAATAGAGCTTGTCCAAAAAACAAACAAAACAAAAAAAAACTAAAAAACTATACAAAAAAACAACAGAATCTATCTCCATGGACTTTATACACATGCTCCTGCAGGCCCGTCCTCTGCTGGAACCGCACGTGGCAGCACTCGCAGAAATAGAGCTTGTCCAAAAACAAAACAAAACAAAAAAAAAACTAAAAAAACTATACAAAAAAACAACAGAATCTATCTCCCATGGACTTTATACACATGCTCCTGCAGACCCGTCCTCTGCTGGAACCTCACGTGGCAGCACTCGCAGAAATAGAGCTTGTCCAAAAACAAAACAACAAAACAACAAAAAAACAACTAAAAAACTATACAAAAAAAACACAGAATCTATCTCCCATGGACTTTATACACATGCTCCTGCAGACCCGTCCTCTGCTGGAACCTCACGTGGCAGCACTCGCAGAAATAGAGCTTGTCCAAAAACAAAACAAAAAAAAGCTAAAAAACTATACAAAAAAACAACAGAATCTATCTCCCATGGACTTTATACACATGCTCCTGCAGACCCGTCCTCTGCTGGAACCTCACGTGGCAGCACTCGCAGAAATAGAGCTTGTCCAAAAACAAAACAAAACAAAACAAAGCTAAAAAACTATACAAAAAAAACAACAGAATCTATCTCCCATGGACTTTATACACATGCTCCTGCAGACCCGTCCTCTGCTGGAACCTCACGTGGCAGCACTCGCAGAAATAGAGCTTGTCCAAAAACAAAACAAAAAAAGCTAAAAAACTATACAAAAAAAACAACAGAATCTATCTCCCATGGACTTTATACACATGCTCCTGTCCTCTGCTGGAACCTCACGTGGCAGTACTCGCAGAAATAGAGCTTGTCCTGCTTGTGCACGATCCTCATGTGGGTCTTGAGGGCGCTGCTCTGGGTGAACTGGTGCTGGCAGTCGGGACACGAAAAGGGCCTCTCGCCTGTATGGGTCCGAACGTGCTTCACCAAATCGGATTTCCGCACGGTGGTGTAGACGCAGTAGGGACAGTGGTGGGGGTTGGGGCCGGTGGGCAGGGGAGGGTGGTGGAGGAGGGAGAGGCGGTGGAGAGGGTGGAAAGAGGAGGGAGGGAGGGGAGCAGGTGGAGAGGGTGGAAGGGGGGAGGGAGGGAGGGGGTGCGGGTCGTCGTGGGTCCGCCGTGGTCGTTGCCTCTCCCCCGGACGCCAGCGATCATCTGGAAGGGAGCAGAAGGTGGAGAAAAAAGGGGCGTTTTTTTTTTTTGCAAATTATCTGTATATGTACGTAATTCTTGGCAAGTTTCTCTATTTATTTTTCATAATATTAACAACAATCATATTAATATCAATACTGTTTGAATATGAATGATAATGATAATAAAAATAACAATTGTAATGATAGCAATAATTATAACAACAATAACATTAATGATAATAAACATAACAATAATAGCGATAATGACAGCAATAATAATAATAATAATAATAATAATGAAAATAACGAACAAATAATACTTGCAATGATAATAATGATAAAACCAACAAACAACAAGAAGCATGATAATAAAAAACAATAACAATAACGATGATGACAATGATGATTAATAATAGTAACAGGTATTGCAGCGTCCCTCTTAAAAATATCTCCCATGTCCTTAACAAAGAATATAACAGAAAATTGAAAACAAATACAAAGAGAAAAATAACAAAACTAAAGAGTTAAGAAAGCCATAAATAACAGACATTAAAAAAGAAACAAGTACAACAACAAACACAAACAGAAAAAATAACAAAACAAAACCATCAAGAAAGCCATAAATACCAGACACTAAAAAACAAGAACAGCAACAACAAAAACAAAAAGAAAAAATAACAAAAATAATCAAGAAAACCATAATAAAACAGACATTAAAAAAAACAAGATCAACAAAAACAAAGAAAAAATAACAAAACAAAATCATTAAGAAACATAAATAACAGACATCTAAACAACAACAACAACAACGACAAAAACCAACAGAAAAAACAACACAAAATCACCAAGAAAGCCATAAATAACAGACACCTAAACAACAAAACAACAAAAACAAAACAAAAACAAAACAAAATCACCAAGAAAGCCATAAATAACAGCCATTAAACAACAACAACAACAACAAAAACTCGCCAAGAAAACCATAAATAACAGACATCTAAACAACAACAACAACAAAAACAAACAAACAAAAGCATTCGCACAGACACCAAACAAAGGCGCCTTTTCGCTTTCCAATCACCGAAGCAAAACGCCACGGTGACCTTTTTCTTTCCAATCAACATCTCAACTCTGGAATAATCTTTCTTCTCTTCCTCTTTTCTCAAACTTTGGGACTTATTCTCCCCGCGAAATGAGATGCGTGTGTGTGTGTGTGTGTGTGTGTGTGTGTGTGTGTGTGTGTGTGTGTGTGTGTGTGTGTGTGTGTGTGGTGTGTGTGTGTGTGTGTGTGTGTGTGTGTGTGTGTGTGTGTGTGTGTGTGTGTGCGGGTACGTGTGTGTGTACGTATGCGTGTACGTGTGCGCGTGCGTGTGTGCGTGCGTGTGTGCGTGTATGACTGCATGTATCTGTATCTGTGAGTGTGTGTGTCTGTACGCTTAGGTGTATGCATGTGTGTGACAGTGATAAAGTAGATGACAGAAAAGAAGAGACGGAGAGGAGAAAAAACACCAATAAAGAGAAAATCACCAAATAAAATAATTTATTCCTCCATTACACTCTGTCCATTCACGGCAATTATATTAACAATTGTCTCTTTCACTTCGTCCAAAAAAAAGAAAACAAAAAAAAAAAACTAAAGGCACTAAGATTCTAATGTAATTTATTTCGTAAGATGATATTGTATCCTTCTCGGAGCACAATAACATGAAACATATTTAACTATTCTTTTTCTCGTGATTCGTGAATGAATATTACGTAAAAGATAAGTATCTCTACTGGATGTTTTTACCTGTTTACTGATTACAATGGTAAGATTATAATTTACAGAAATACACATAACAAACACGCAGCTGTTTTTATGTGTGTAATCTAGGGAGGTCCTCACTCTGAACTAACAATCAACGGCGGGATTCGATATTCATGCGTTTTTCGAATCCTTACTTCGACTACTACCACTACTATTACTACTACTACGACTGGCCGCTACTATTACTACTACTACGACTGCCACTATTACTACTGACTACTACTACTACTTACTACTACTTACTACTACTACAACTACTACTATTACTACTACTACTACTACTACTACTACTATTACTACACTAAACTACTACTACTACTACTAGACTACTACTACTACTTACTACTACTACTACTACTACTAACTACTGACTAATACTATTACTACTACTACGACTGCCGCTACTATTACTACTACTACGACTACTATTACTACTTGCCGCTACGACTATACTACTACATTACTTACTACTACGACTACGACTGAGGACTGCCACTACTATTACTATACTACTACCTTACTATTACTACTACTACGACTGCCGCTACTATTACTACTACTACGACTGCCACTACTATTACTACTACTAACTGCCCTACTATTACTACTACTACGAAACTACTATTACTACTACTACGAACTATACTACTACAACTATTACTATTACTACAACTACCGCTACTGAAAGAATAATGATAATAAAAATCGCGAAACAAAATCATTCAAGAAAAACAAACTTTGACGAGGTCCCCACCAAGCAGTATGTGAACGAAGCCAAAATTTGAGGTTTGTTGATATTTCCATCACGTCGACGACCATAGCGAATAACAGCAGGCACCAACTGGGGGTACCTCGGCGACCCCCATACACAAGTATAGGGGGACTTATATCAGTTTTTTTTCCCCTAACTTTTTTTTCGGGTGTGACCCTAAAGACAGTCTTATAGCCTGGACTAGCGACCCGAATTGTGTGAACATGTCGTGATATATCTAACCATTTCCATAGCAGTTATACTTCTGCTGCATGTTAGCTTACGTTATTCTATACTATTATAGGTTAATATTACCAACACATTGAATTGCAATAAACAAGCGTTATTAAACAGTATTAACTTCAACTGACATATCCAACTATGGATTCTTTTATCCTTCTTTTAAGACCCTCTGGCGACCCTCAGAAAAATCCTGGTGACCCTCATTTGGACTGTGACCTTGGGGTTGGGTACTACTGACCTACAGATTACTCTTCAGTCCATGTTAAGGTGAAGATAAATTTGTGTAAGCAAGATTGTGCATTTTTTTTTCTCTCTCTCTACACCAGACCGTCAGAAATCTGAGTGCAAGTCTGCAATATGTGAGAATCACTTTGATGTACTTCAGCAAATATTTATCTATTCAGTGATATTTAACATCACATTTATGCTCAAAGTTGACGTGCATTCAGGAGTGTAGGTATAATATTCAGCCACATCCTGGATCTTTTGGTTATCAATGCGTTTTATATGTGCTTGATATCAATGGAGAATGGACTATTGAACACGCCACATGACAACAAAGGAAATACAGTTGACTGATAATGAAAAGCCACATCATTTTTTTTTATTCTGATCCTGGGAGGCTTTTGCTGACTACTATCATTACTGTTCCTTTATTTCGGTTGAATGTATTTTTGTCTCCCGATGTTAATTTCTGAGTTCATAACAGTTGTTTCCCCTTTGTTATTGCAGTTAATTCGTTTTGTTCAAACATGTAAATGGTCCATATAAATGTATATCTGTTTCCATTGATGAAATGCTATATGAAATTAAACTATTCCTAAAAGAATTCTGTTAGCGATATATGGAGATACTGGAACACTTAAGGCTGTATTGTATTACAAAAAAAAAAAAAAAAAAAAAAAAAAAAAAAAAAAAATAATTTTGCAGTGTAAGGGAAGTTCACTCAATAAAACTACCCGTACTGAATTCCGGTTTTTATTTAATCCCTGAAGTAATTGAGATGCTAGTGAACGATTATACTTATACAACTTATAGCAAACCTTATAAAAAACCTTACGATACAACGCTGTTAACTACAGACACACACACACACACACACACACACACACACACACACACACTCCACGACGCCCTCCCACCAGGCAACTCGTTCCGACACCCGGTAGCCGTTACGGGCAACTGTACACTTAATATAAATGCAACTCCATCTTGCCGGTCGATAAAATAGCATCTACTGAGGAACTTGAGGTTCTTCGCGGAACCCTGGGTAACAGCGACCGGCGATGGACAGTGGCGGCAACTGGCGGCGCCGGGGGAAAGCTCGGATTTTAATATGTTGTAACTGGAGTGGCGGCGCCAGCAAGTTGCGGCAACTGGCTGTGCGAGGGGATACCTGCAGTTGCCACGTATGAAAGCCCTCTTTCTATAAATCTTATCTAGGTTGCATTAATCGATTGCCGCAACCAGTTGCCTTGTGCGATGGCACCCTGAGACCTTCACACACCTCTTCTCTCTCTCTCTCTCTCTCACACACACACACACACACACACACACACACACACACACACACACACACACACAACACACAACACCACTAAATGCTCTACCAAACACACGCTATAATCTCTCTCACCCCCACACAAATGCATGTGTTCCTACACAGTATATTTCTTATGAATACACCGTGTTTATGATGGATGCTCTTTTCCTCAGCCCTTCCGTCGTGCTCAAGTTGCAGATCCCTTCCCTCTCGCTATAGTCTTTGCGGATATCCACCTCGCAATCCACATCCTCGCCCTCGGGAATCGTGTCCTTGTGTTTGATCGCAATGTTGTGCAGAACGGCGGCGCTGCAGATCGCCATCATGGAGGTGTTCAGCTTCGACCGCAGCTGCGACGACAGCACCCGGAACCTCCTCTTCCACAAGCTGAACGCCATCTCTATGTTACTCGTCTTGGCGTGGGCGGTGTTGTACTTGAGCTCCGCCTCCCGCGTGGGGTTGGCCACGGGGGTCATGAGGTACGGCCGCAGCGGGTACGCCGAGTCCCCGAGCAAGTGCCCCACGTACTGGCCCTGCTCCAGCTTCCGGCACAGGTCGCTGTTGGCGAAGATCCTGCTGTTGTGGACGGAGCCCGGCCAGCGACACACGATGTTGTAGAACTCCAGGTTGGGACCGCACACGCCCTGGACGTTGAGCGAGAAGAACCCCTTCTTGCAGATGAACTCCTCGGCGCGCTCCCCGCCCGGACTCTCGATGGGGATGTGCGTGCAGTCGATGGCCCCGAGCACGCCCGGGAACCCAGCGATGTCCTGGAACTGCTGGCTGACGGCTTGGATGGCCTGGCTGTCGGGGAACTGCACGTAGCGGTGGAAATTGCTCGCTATGGACTGCAGCGTTTCTTTGACGCAAGTGCTGAGAAACTGCTGAG